TGATGCTGCTTGCTCGGCTCTTGGCTGGCTTTCAGTCAGTTCCCTCACTACCCACGAGCAAGCTGGGTTCTTCTGGGGATGATTCCCTGGCAGGTGGGTTTGTGTACGTTCTAGGACCCTGTAGGTCTCTCCAATGAACTCTCCTGTGAAGCCGGGAGTTTCTCCCACTGCCACATCCCCCACAGACTTTTACAACCAGAGGTTTTGAGGCTTTTCTTTTTCCCACAGTGGAACCCTGGATTGCATGGTCTGTCTTACTCCCCAGCTGTTCCTACCGTTTCATCCGCATGTAAATGTGGGACTGCCTGGTCCACTAGCCACCGCCTCACCCACCTGGTCCTCTTGCTGCTGCTTTGCTGTGCATCCTCTCCACCCAGACTGCCCGTCTCCATCCCTCCTACCGGTCTGGATGACTGTTCCTTCTTTAACTCCTTGGTTGGTGGACTGCCATACAGTTTGATTTCCTGGCAGTTTGGTTATTTTTTGTTTGTAAATTTGTTGTTGTCCTTCTTTTGGTTGTGCGAGGGGGCAAAGTGTATCTACCTATGCCTCTATCCTGGCCGAAAATAAAACCCTGCTTCCTTATTATCTGCTGCCGTTTGCACATTATTTATCTTTTATGCCCTAGTTCAAGTATGTTTTACATGTAAAGGTTTATGATACTCCTCACACACCATCAGCAAGGGTTACTCTTTTTTTTTTTTTTGTCATCACTGTACCTTAAATATTAACTTCATTTTAGCCTCATCCCATTGTGTGAAGTCACTGTTTACATGTCTAGCTCTTCTGTGAGCTGAAATGTTTAAGGGCAGATGCCATGTCCTCATTCATTTTTGTGTCCTCAGCAAATAAGAAGACCTCAGGGCTGGGGGGAGAGGGAGATTGTTACCTACATGGACCTAAAGGTAAATGATAGGCCCTAGGACATGAGAAAATATTTTAGTCCATTTTATTTATGGAAAATATTTAAGTTCTCTAATTTTTTTTATTTTTGTCCTTAATTTTTTTTACAAAGGATTTCTGCTCTGATTTTAAAGTAAACCTCAGAATGAGGAGAAACCAGCATCTAAAACATTGAATATTGACTAAACAATCATAACACTGAGAAAGAGATTTAGCTATCCATATCTTTATTATTTACCATTGTAAAGATTTTGAGAATACCAGTTTTATTTGAAATTCTCCTGTTATATTTATAAATAAAAGTACATATCTGGGCTTAAGATATGACAAAATACAATCTAGAAGCCTTTCTAATTCTTTAGAGAGCCATTAGCTAGAAAAGGCTATTAAAGATTCATCAGAATTCAACATAGTGTTTTCTGGCAATTTACCCAAGGGGTTCCTGAATACACTTAGAGGACTCATATATCAGACAACGAGAAATTGATTTAGACTTAATCTCTTTGCTTTTTCAGATTTCACAATATCTGGCAATAATAGCCAACAAAGTTGTTTCTAATTCTGTTAGAAATTACTAGAAACAAAATGAACTGGCAAAATAGAAGCAGACAGTCCTTAGGGAAAGTTTAAAATTCAAAGGGTAACATCTTTAGTTGAATGTGATTATTATATCTTAAAAGAATTACTGTCATTATCATACGGAATTCTTATTCATGGCCATCATTAATGCTTTAGTGAAATTTTTGCATTTATTTTACTTAAATTACCTAAAATAATTGTATTTGAAGTAGATGTTTTCTATGTCAATAAATGTAAGTATAAAATATAATATTTCTGAAAAATGTAAATAAGGGAAAACTCACATCTAGTTTAAACCCAAGTCTAAGTGCTTATTTTAATTGCGCAAGCGCATACCACACCCATACTCACCCACCCCCTCTTCAGTGACTATAAGCTGTACATGGCTTCAGAAAGCTGTCATAAAATTTGGCAGGGTTACCTATTGTGTCTAATCATTTTTGAAAAAATAATCCTCACCTGATGATATGTTTTTATTGATTTTGGAGAGAGAGAGAGAAAGAGAAAAACATTGATGTGAGAGAGAAACATCAATCATGTGTCTCCTGTACATGCTCCAACCAGGGTTCAAACCTGCAACCTTTTGGTGTACAAGATGTCATTCCAGCAAACCGAGCTACCCGGCCAGGGCTATACCATATAATCTTGAATAATTTGGATTATTTGATCTATTAAATATCTTTGGGTTCAATTTAGATGGGATGGAACATTTTAGCTGTAACACTATCATAGAAGAGAAGCATTTTTTATTCTATCTGTATAGGAAATGTAATACTACTTCTGTCGGTTCTTTAAAGAAATTGCTTAACAGTGTCTTCCTTGAAAGATGAAAAGCAAAGTCTGTGTATTTCAAGAATTGGTGCTATGCTTGTCTTTAAACACTTACCATTGTCCATGTTTTTCAGTCAGATGTTTTTGAAGTACTGTTTTTGTTTTTAAGGAAATAAAATAATTTATTGGTTTCTTGTCTAAGTGAACCTTATGATCTTAATTTGACAGATTTAAGATATGGTAATGGTTCATATCCAGTAACTTAAGAGGAACAGTTGGCATTATGCATTATTTACCTATTAGGTTTTATTTGGCTATTAATAACCATCAATGAATAAAACTTTGAATTTCTAAGATTTTATGTCATAGAGGGTGTCAAACTTATCATTTGAATTATACGTCCCTGAATTATAAACACTGTCAAGTGTTTGTTTTTTAAACCATTACATTTTACCACTGTGGTTATATACAGTTCACTTGATTCTATATACCAGAGCAGAGTATTAGGTCCATATGAGCAGAGAGTATTTTTTATTAATCTCTATACAGATATACCTCAGAGGTATTGTGGATTTGGTTCAAGGCCACCACAATAAAATGAATAGCACAATAAAGTGAGTCACAGGGATTTTTTGGTTTCTCAGTGCACATAAAAGTTATATTTACATTATACTGTGGTTTATTAACTGTGCAATGCATTATATCTAAAATATCAATGCACATACCTTAACAAAAATACTCTATTGCTAAAAAATGCTACCTTATATCATCTGAGCCTTCAGCGAGTTGTAATCTTTTTGCTGATGGATGGTGTTGTCTCCATGTAGATGGTTGCTAACTAATGAGGGTGGCAGTTACTGAAAGTTGAGCTGGCTGTGGCACTTTCTTAAAATAAGACAACAATGAAGTTTGCTGCATTGACTGACTCTTTCATGAATGATTTCTCTGTGGCATGTGATGCTATTTGATAGCATTTAACCCACAGTTATAACTTTAAAAATTGGAGCCAGTTCTCTTAAACCCTGCCACTGCTTTATATACTGTTTATTGTAATATTCTAAATCCTTTGTTGTCATTTAACAGTCTTCACAGCATCTTCACCAGGAGTAGATTTCATCTCAAGAAACCAATTTCTTTGCTCATCCATAAGAAGCAACTCCTTATCCATTAAAATTTTATCATGAGATTTCAGTAGTTCAGTCACATCTTTAGGCTCTACTTCTAATATTTTAGTTCTCTTGCTATTTCTACTGCATGTGTAGTTACTTCCTCAAAGTTATCCATGAGGGTTAGAATCAATTACATCTCAAGTCTTGTAAATGTTGATATTTTGACCTCTTTCCATGGATCATGAGTGTTCAGAATGGTATCTAGAATGGTGAATTCTTTTCAGAGTTTTCAATTTACTTTGCCCATATCTATCAGAGGGATCACTATCTGTGGCAGCTATAGCCTTACAAAATGTTTTTCTTAAATAAAAAGACTTTAAAGTTGCTCTGGCTGATGTGGCTCAGTTGGTTGGGGCATTGTCCCATAACCAAAAGGTGGGCTCAACCTCGTCAGGGCACATACCTGGATTGTAGGTTTGATTCTCGGTGGAGGTGCATGCAGAGGCAACCAATTAATGTTTCTCTTCCCCCTCCCCACTTCCTCTCTCTCTCAAAGCAATAAACATATCCTTGGGTGAGGATTAAAAAAATCATTATGTGGTAGGTAAACTGTTTACAAGAATTTCTTATACACAGAGGCTGTCATTCCCTTTAGTTATTGAGGTGTAGTAGGACAGACCATAGTAACAGTCTACTTACTATGTCTACTCACTATGGTCTGTCCTACTTGGTAGACCATACTAAGTCCCGGGCTAGTGAGTACTCTGCACTTGCACCCTGTGAGTGCTCTATCTAACTCCCTTTAGAGAAGGAGCATATTTTGAAATGTATTTTTTTTTGTCTCCTGGAACTGATTTTCAGTCATTTATTTAAAAAGAGAGAAAATTTTGACCCATAGGGATACAAGTAAGGAATATCATGCTAGTTATTAAAATGTAAATTTTACAGAGGCCAGTGACTGAGGTGCCTCCAAAGAAATGGTCAGAAAAAATGAAGGTAAAGATTAATAAGTATTTAAGAATGAGTGACTACCAGATTATCTTCCTAAAGCATAGACAGTCACAGATTGTCAAAAGTACCCATTTTGTATCCTTTGGTATAGGATGACTTAGTGTTCAACAAACATTTAACAAGATTGTATTATGTACCCTGCACAGTGCTAGATACTGGACTGACATTGGTGAATAAGAGAAGACATCCCTCTTGGATTTTTATCATTTAGTAGGAAAGACAGAGTTCAGTAAGGGACAGAGAGCCATAGCAGTTCAGTTTTGCCCAAACATTATGTTCCATCTACCACTGGTTCTTGGCAAAAACTTTGTCTTTTATTCCCAGCTCAGCCTCTCCTTCTTTCTCTATATTCCCACCCTTCAGGGTAACTATGGTTTAAAAAAAAAAATTGAAATTATGCAATTAGGTATCGGAATCTTCAAGAACATATTAATAAGCATGTGTGGTGAATGTGGCTGGGAAAAAGGTTGAGAACTACTGACTCCGGGGTTATAACATTCAAATTTGTATCTGTAAACCATACTATGTTCTTGAATACAAACCCACATTTTTAAAAAAGTATTTGTTTTGTTTGTTTAATTAGATGATACAAACCTGCATTATAATTACTTTGCTTTTTGTTTATAGGTCCAGGGGCAAGTTCATCCTACTCTTGAATCTAGTGATGATGCTCTTCAGTATGTTGAAGAATTAATTTTACAGTTACTAAATATGCTATGCCAAGCTCAGCCCCGAAGTGTTTCAGATGTAGAGGTATGATAAATTTGCCTTGTATTTATTTTATATATACATCTAATCTGTGTGTTGATTGTGATGTCAGTAAAGGGGAAAGAGCTTGATTTTGAGTTCAAATATATATATATATATGTATGTATTTTTATATATATTTAAAAATTGAAGACTGGATTTATTTTAACTTTGTATTGGGTGTACAATACCTTGTTTATGTTAAAGCTGTCAAACCATTCTGTTTTGCTTTTAATCTAAAATGAACTCTTTTTGGTCTCTAAGCACTACTTCTTGATGCTAGAATATATATATATTTCCATACTTTTAAGAACGTTGCAATTAATTTTTTGATCTTCAGGTATTACATGTATTTTAAATAGTGAGTGGACTCCTTTTCTACCAGTTGGAAGGGAGGAAGGAATTCTATCATCTCTTTCAAAGATGACATGGTGACATGGTCTTTGTCTTTTTAGGGGTTATAGTTTAGTGGAGATACAGATAGGTAAATGGGCAATAACATAATATGATATACTATGAGTAAATGGGATGGGGAACTTCTTTTTAAGATTGTATTTATTTCTTTTTAGACAGAGGGGAAAGGAGAGAGGGGAAGAGAAACATCAATGTGTGGTTGCCTCTCACGTGCCCCCTACTGGGGACCTGGCCCGCAACCCAGGCATGTGCCCCGACTGGGAATCGAACCAGCAGCCCTTTGCTTTGCAGGCTGGTGCTCAGTCCACTGAGTCACACCAGCCAGGGGGGATGTGGGAACTTTTAAAGGAGGCAACTAAAAACATAGGCTTTGGGGCTTAGGGTTAACATCTCAGAAGCAGAGACATCTAAATTGAGTTCTGAAGGAGTCAAAAGTTTGAGAGGAGAAGAAATAAGATTTGCAGTACTGACAATGAGAGAGAGAGAGCTGGAAAAATAAAAGTAGTTTTATGGCAATAATGAAGGGTCATTTGGCTTTAATGACCTCAAATGTATAGTGCCACAAATATCTGGGTTTCTGCGACATTTCTTTTGCAGTACTCAAGTGTCAGCACACATACAAAAAAAATTAGTTGGGTTGAATGGCATTTCACTATGGATATACAATGAAAGAACAGCAGGACAAAGGGATTGTAGAAATTGGTAACAGAAATGCTTTATAGTCCTTTTCAGGACATAACACACATAGACTATAAGAATGATTTTAAGGCACGTAATGACTCAAGAGGAGGTAAGTTTTTCTGTCCCAGGCCCTGTTTTGTTCCCCTGAAAGTTAAGGCATATCCAGTGAGAAACTGCTGAAAAGAACATCAGAGAATCTATTTGGATGAGGGAAAAAAGTGAAATGTAGTAATAGCTGACATTTGAGTGCCAGCGATAGTATCATGCACTGTTCTAAACATTTGTATGTTTTATATTTCATTTAAAGTTTTTAATAACCCCATGAAGATGGCACTGTTTTTTCCCTTACTAGAGTGTGAACTCCAGGAATTTTTTTCTTGTTCACTGCCAGATCTCTGCCACCTAGAATTGGTACTGAGACCGCACTCAGGAAATACAGGTTGAATGAATAAATGAGTGAACTGAAACACTGAGAGGGTAAATAGTTGCCCAAGGTCACAGCTAATAAGTAGCGAAGCCAAGTCTCTAACCCAGAAAATCTAAGCTTTGAGGGCATACATACCACCAACCTATTCTGCGAGGTAGGAGAGAACAGGAAGATTGGAAAAATAGGGAGAGAACAGGGTATTGGGTTTCCCAATAAGGTCAGAGAACTGATAACACTGGAATACCTGAGTGAGAGACATAGAAGAATAGATTAGGATCAGAGACAGTTGTTGGAATTTAAGATTTTTTTTGGTAACATCGTTACAAAGCGGGATGTGGCTACGTGGTGATGGCTGGATTAGAGGTTATGAAATAAAAGACTACAGTATTTTATGTATCCTTAATGTAGACAACAAAGTCACACAGGATGATGACAGGACTTCACATAAGAGTGAAAAGAGTGATGTTCCAGAAACAGTTTGCAGAGTGGAAAAGATGCTAAATTCCCCTCCATGTCAGTTTTGAGACAAGGGCAGTTCCTACTCTAAGAAGTCTTCAGGGGAGCTCCAGATTTCAATTGAGCAAAGAGATACTAAGGAACACTGAATTGCAGAGATTGTGGATGTAGGAAGGATTGTCAACTATGAAACAGTAATTTACTTTGATTACTTAAGTAATTTAAAGTAGATTTCATACATTGTTAGCCTGTTTCTCATTGTGAAGGGTGAAATACCTTTATTTATCATTTCCTTTAAGCACTAATTATATTGGGCTTCAGAGTAGATCTTAAAAAGAACTGGTTACCTGACTCTCCTCATTAACAATTCAATTTGCTCTTTTCGGTTCTAGTTGTGTTCTCCCACAATGTTTGTAAAATGTAACATCTGTCCCTATGCCTGCTGTATTAAAATGGAATTACAGGTCTAGTCTTGCTTATCATTCTGATGTTGGTACATCCCAGGAATTTGCTAGTTTGGTAACATTGAATACTCAAGGAGCTCTTTCTATATATGTTGTACTATACCTATGTTTATCTAATTTCCTTTTAATTAATATAGAAACTACCGTATTTTGCCATGTATAATGCACACTTTTTTGCCCAAATTTTTGAAGGAAAAATAAGGATGCACGTTTTGCATGGGTATAATGATTACATGCCATGGGTATAATAATGGGCATAATAATCCAAAGTATAATGTGCACAAAAACGTGGGAACATATTATACACAGCAAAATATGGTAATTTATAATTTCCTAGTATTGAAGGGGGTCATGAATTCTCAAAAATAACTAATGAGTCTCAATCTTCCACTTGCACAGATTTAATCAGTATGTAGGTACTTAATTTTTCTTTATATAATTTCTTGGTCTTGTTCTTTCATAATTGTATGTGTTCATTATTTCTCTCTGGTTGACTAGACTGATTTCCATTTATAATGCCTTTCCTGTTTCCCTTTTTGGTCTGTGTATCCTGTATTTAACCAACTTCCATTTCTTAGGACACTAATACATTTTTCTTTTCATTTAATTCAGGCTTTCTGGGACTCCTTATCTTAGACTTTTTTCCCCCAATGAGTCATATCTTAAAGTTTTTTAGTTTACTTCTCTTTTCCATTCATTTTTTTCTTTAACTTTTTTCTTTGCATCCTAAAGAATCCTTGTAATTTTATGTTTTCCATTAACATTTAGATTTCCCAAGTAATTTTTCCATATTTCCCATCTTTCTAGAAAAAAATATCTCCCACACATTCTAAGCCTTTATATTAATAAGACTTCAAAAGTACCTGTGGTCTGAATATTTGGATGGAAGCACGTGTACAGGAGTTTCCATAGGTTCTAGAGTATTTGTCTTGGAATTGATTTTTAAGATTATCTATTTAGACCCCTTTATTAAATAAAGGAAAAGGCAAGGTTCTGCTAATAAGAGCCAGCTGAGCCCTGCATTGGTGGCTTAGTTGGTTGAAGCATCATCCCGTACACTAAAAAGATTGTGGGTTCAATCCCTGGTTAGAGCACCTACCTAGATACAGGGTTTGATTCCCAGTCAGGGTGTGTTTGGGAGACATCTGATCCATGTTTCTCTCACACATCAATGTCTGTCTGTCTGTCTGTCTGTCTCTCTCAAATTAATAAACATATCCTTGGATGAGGATTAAAAAAAAGAGAGAGAGCCCTGGCTAATGCGGCTCAGTGGACTGAGCACCAGCTTGTGAACTGAAAAGTCGCCGGTTCGATTCCAACAGGACACATGCCTGGGTTGCATGCCAGGTCCCCGCTTGGGGACATGATAGAGGCAACTAGTCACACATCGGTGTTTCTCTCTTTTCTCCCTCCATTCCCTTCTTTCTAAAAATAAATAATTAAAATCTTTAAAAAAGAGAGAGAGGGAGGGAGAGACAGCTGAATCTCAAATCTAGTTCTCTGTCTTATTTTTTCAAAGCCACTAGATAGATATTAAGATGGAGTTTCTCATTTCAAACAAAATTATTAATCCTGAAAGTAGGAGAGTAAAAAACTCTAGTTCCTGAATATTCCATTGAGCATTCCTCTTTGGGCTTCTTTACTTTTACAAAAATATATAAAATAATTGTAAAAAGTTTTATTTTGTTCTAAATTATAAGTAAATTTGTCACTATAAGAGATGAAGTAATTCTTTCAGTGGCCTTTCCACATTCAAGTCACCTTTTTTGACATTACTAGTCTTTTCCCATTCATTCTGAACTTTGGCATTATCTAATTATATAGTTGAATAATTTGATTCCAATAATACACTGATAAGTAAATTTAAATGTGTTTTTCATCATTATTATTTCTACTTTCTTGTGTCCTCTTTTGTTATTCCTGATTTTGTTTTCCCTTCTTTCTTAAAACAACAGATAAACTTGGAATTAGGTGGATAAAATCGAGATGGGAAGGGATTGCTGTTCTCTTTTCTTTTTCTTTCACCCCAGCCCCTGCCTACAATTTGCCTCTGTAATTCCACCGATGATTTTTTCCAAGATATATTAGAATTGTCAGATTGAGTTCACCCTCTGTTTTCTTCAACTGCTATCACCACTATACACAAATGGTGGTTTTTTTAGACTCTAAGTCAGAAAATCACTTTAGTGAATTGCCCAGCTACAATTTTTTTTAATGAACAGAAAATACCAGTTCATTGCATATAATAAGGGCAGGTTTTGTTTTATGAAAACTTTGTTCCAGTTCAGTGTGTGTGTGATGGGTAAAATGTATTCAGAATTTATTATTTCTTACTATGAATTGAGGTTAAAAAAAAAAAAGTTGGCAAGCCATAGGGCCATACCCTTATAAGGTTTGTACCATGGCTGTACCCATTCATTTAACCATAGATTAAAACCATTGCTGTGGAAATTTTAATTGGGAGCCATAGTAAAGTTAGTCCTAAATCTCTTGTCACTTTTGGAATAGCAAGTCCATAGTGTTGACTTGAAGAAGGAAAAGAATTTTTGTTTTTGATGTTTCCTTCTACCTTTTCACCCCTTCCCTTTTATTTTCTCCTTTTTCAAAGCCAAACTCCCCCAATATCTTGGATCTTTATCTTGTTTTATTATATGAGGGTACAGTATCCTGGCAAAAAGCTTTCAACTAGGTATTTGGAAAAGTTTGTAAACTTCATTTTTAACTACAATAATTTCTTTCAACACATGTCTAATTCTATTAATTAGAATCAAAATGATCACTTCTTATATTTGGCGACTGATTTAGCCTTGAATACAGATGGTAAGGAAGTTTATCAAACTTGAAAGGGGTAAACTATTCTTAATTTTTAAATTTATTTTTAACTTGTCCTGGTGTCAACCTGTCCCCCAACCTACATCACAAGGAAATCTATTTTTTTATTTTCCATTTTAATAACAGCTGGCAAAACTTTTTATTTAGATTTATAATCAGGAGTGATGTTTAATTTTACTTAGTAATGCTACTAAATACTCATTCAAAATCCATATGTTAATTATGTAATAGCGACCTCTACTGGTTTTAATTATGGTATCCTGAAAAGTGATTTTAAAAACTTGTGAGGGGATGAGGGTACCTTTTGTTTGAAGTAAATTACATTAGTTTATTAAAGTAGGGAGATTCAGCTTTCACATTAATATGAGTTATTTCACTTTTGATGGAAATTATAACTGAATATGTGCTGGAAATAAACAAAGTATTTTTTTAAAAATTAATGACCCATAGAGGATTCAAACTCTAATGATGAACAACAGAGTATTAAAATTGCTGTTGCCAGTATAAACCCTTGACTTCTATGATTTGTAAATAGTTTTTAAGTCAAGTACCTTTGCATGATGGATATTGAAAATAATTCTTAGCCCTGGGCAGGTAGCTCAGTTGGTTAGAGCATTATCCCGATAAGCCAAGGTTTTGGGTTTGATCTCCAGTCAGGGCACATGCAAGAAGCAACCAATGAATGCATAAAAATAAATGGAACAACAAATCTCTCTCTCTTCCCCCACTTCCAGTGCCCTCTCTCCCTTCTGCTATCTCTCTAAAAGCAATACATAAAAATTTTAAAAAATTTTAAAAAGAATTCTTAGAGGTTTCAAGTGCAAAATGCTACATGAGCTTGTAATTGATATTGAAAGTAAGGACAATAAATGAGAATTGGATTTAGATATTTACTTCATGGGCTTAGGTCTTGTTTTTTTGAATTTTTATATAAATAATGTTTAAAATGGCTTCTACCCATTCTTGTCATTAGCTTTATCACAGTGACGTTGAAATTCAGAATGTTAGATTATACAAGGAATGTTTAGTCTCTTAATTGCCTAATTAAGAAACTAACACATTGACAATTATCATCTTCTCATAGCTGAAGTATTTTTGTACTATAAATTATACCATATGTGAAAACACTTTTGGTATTCTTGGATTTTAAAAGTAAATTTTAAGTCAAAAGCACTATTTAATATATTTGTTGCTTAGTTCTTATTTTCCTGTTTTCCAAGGAACGTGTTCAAAAAAGTTTCCCTCATCCAATTGATAAGTGGGCAATAGCTGATGCCCAGTCGGCTATTGAAAAGAGGAAGCGAAGAAACCCCTTATCTCTCCCAGTAGAAAAAATTCATCCTTTATTAAAGGTAAAGCTGAAATACTACCTTTTTGCCTTTTAAAAGCAAAATAAAACCCATAATTTTCAAATACTAAGAGTAATATATTTTATGAATAATAGAGTCAACTGAAAAGTAAAATTTTCTCATTTAATTTTTTTAGGAATTCACATCATGGGGAGGGATGATATGGTAATACAAAAGTATAATTTGGGCAACATGATTTGGAGTTGGGCAACATGATTTAAAGTAATTTCATACTGACAGTAATAGTCAAACAAATTAAATGAACTAAGAAAGTTATAATTGTGGATTTTGTTCATCTGAGAAGTTAGTAGAACCTTGAAGAGAATTTATGAAATTCCTTTCTTGTCGGTTAGACTTGAATGTCCCTATAAATCCTTCAAATCTTAATCCTTCATGCATCATTAGATGTGTAGGGACTTCTGCAAAACTGCCATAGTGCTGTGTGTAATCTTTGAACACAAATTCCCTTTCTTAAATCATTTGAGCCTATTTGTCATTTAAATCAGTTGGTTGAATCTCACCAGAACTAAAAGGAAGAGTTAACTACTGGAAATTCTAATAATGCTATTTCTGTTTTATTTAGTACAGTGAACAAACTATTGATTAACTCTCACATCAAAAATATAGGTATTTGGAGAATTAAAACCTAATGCTTGCACACATGACCTAAGTTTTATTACTCAACTAAATTATTATCATTATCCTCAGTTTGTATTTGAGGTAACTGAGGCAGAAAGTGATTAAGTAAACTTTTAGTCCAACTTCACAGGGTTCTAAGTGATAGTGTTAGGAAATTCAGGTCTATTTGATCTGTCCAAGATTTAAGGCTAATCACTTAGATGATGTTTAAGAATATCAAAAGGTTATGTTTTGTACTCTGGTTGTTTGAATAGAAATATCTCCCTATATCTTACTAAATGGCCTAAGGAAATAAGTGCAAATTATATAAAATTACTAAACTGGCGGTAATTGCATACTTCACAATTCTCTTTTCATGATTTTTATTATCCACACATAGAGTTATATTCTAAGAGAAATAACAAATTGAGGTATGTATGTGCTGTATTAATGATCCTAAATTTTGAATTTTATGATCTAATTTTTGGTCTTTCAATTTTTTAATATATCCTTGTCACTATAAACATTTAATAGTTTTTATATATCCTTAAAGGGAAATGCAACCTGTTGCCAACTTACAAGTAGACTTTCTTCAAAATTATTTTTTTTCCTTAATTTTATTGTTTAAAAAATAGAATTTATTTTCCTATAGGAACTGGTCAGCTCCACAAAGCCCGTCCTATCTTTGAAGTCTAATAATAGGACTATTTAACATGCTGTTAATAACCACTATTGTTCAGTAGGACATAACATGATTTTTTCCATATAGAAATAGTAAAGATACCAGAAATGTGCCACTAGAATTTGGGAAAGCCCAGGTTCCTTTGGAAAAAAGGATAGAGGTATAAGGGTAATAGATATTCCCATATACCAATAATATATAACCTTTGTCCTGTATAAAGAAAACAACCAGTTTTGTCATAATTTATTCCAGGTATTGTGAATTAGGTGGCAATGAACATTTTCTGTTTCCCTAAATTTGGTCTTCCCTTCCTTGATTAAGGGTTATCTATGTAGTAATCTGTACTTTTTAAGCATTTTACATGATGATTGGTAATTTTGCCTTACCTTTTCTTTGTTTACATTTTTAAATAATAATATATTATTCATAAATGAGCCACTTAAAATTAGATGCTGTTGGTAATCATAGGCCTCAGTAAAAGTTAAGCTAGCATGCATGTTTTTTAATCAGTGTCAAATTTATAGTATATAATTTTTAAACATGCTTTTCTTTTAATTTTTCAGGAGGTCCTAGGTTATAAAATTGACCACCAGGTTTCTGTTTACATAGTAGCAGTATTAGAATACATTTCTGCAGACATTTTAAAGCTGGTGGGTAATTATGTACGAAATATACGGCATTATGAAATTACAAAACAAGATATTAAAGTAGCAATGTGTGCTGATAAGGTATGATACTGATCTTCTGTATGTTTTGTTCTTAAATATTTATGTTACTAAATGCTAACATACTATTCAGAAAGAATAAAATTTTTTATCTTGTGTTAGACTATATTTACAGTAATCTAATAGCAAGTACTCAAGATATCATTTTATGAAAACAGTATTATATATAATATTAAAATGTGTTTAAATATGTCATACAGTTTTTCTTTTGTATGTTGCTTCAAGTAGGGTTAATAACAGTAATAATTTCTTATTAGTGATATCTTAAATTTTTATGTGGATTTGAGATTTAGAATGTTATGAACTTACTTAAAAACAATTTTTGAAAGTGTAAAAATCCCCCTAAATCCTTGAGAGTTTAAGTTTAATACCTAGCTTTCTTTAGAAACTACTTGTTTGATTTTACTCTAATAATATTAAGAACAAACATTTTTGAAAGTTAAGCATATATGTGATGCACTTCATTTGGTCCTTATGATGCTGCTGTACAGTAGCTCTTACCTACATTTCATAATAGGGAAACTGAAGTGCAAGAGAGATAAAAAAGTTGGTTCAGAATATTCTAAGACGTTTCAGAGCCTGTACTTAAACTCTAGATTTTTCTGAGTGTGAAGTTCTTAGTCATTGCACTATTCAGCTTCCGTATTTTCATTTTATAAAAATGACTTTGTAGAACAGAAAATATTTTCTGATGAACCACTCCATTTTTTTCTCAGTATACTGTTTTTGATTTGGAATATTCTTTCTGATTACTAAATCCATTTAATTATGTTTTAGTGTTTGTTCTTTTAGAATGTAAATGTATAGAGGAAAAATCACCTGATCTGATGAAGGATTTCAAATGTGTTTATATTTTTAAATGAATAACTATTTGTTTTTTTAAATAATTATTTTTCAATGAACATAAAATATTTGATACTTTTTAGATGAATCATTTAAGTTTTTGAGTATATACTATGTGCTCACACAGGGAGGAGATGCAAGAGAGGTATAAAGTAAGCTTTCAGAGTTGATAAAGGGATACTTATATTTGTGAAACAAGCAGAAAGTTATACAAGATGAAATCTATTTTATTGTGTTATGGGGATAGTGATGTAGAAGTTCACAGAAGGGGAAAGATGAGGTTCGGGAAAAGTAATAATGGTAGGCCTCTTAGTAAAAACAGGACTTGTTTTGATCAGTATTCAACAAATGTAGGCATAGAAGTCTCTAAGAATTATTTACATATGAGGTGCTGAGGCCCTGGAATGCAGTGGTGCTGGCAAGGGTATGAAACGAGAAAACTAAATCAGAGAGAAATCGAAGACAGGATTTGGGAACCAGTTAAAAGTAATAGGTTAACAAGAGAAACAGAGAGACAGATAGATATTAGTATTGACAGAGAACTTGGAAAAATCAGTCTGTGATACCAGATGTTAAATTCTGTTTTAGTGAAAGCTGTGGTGGGATGGGGGCAATATATTCAGGAAGAGATCATTGTGTTTGCTTTTTGTCATTTAAGAACCATCTTCAAAGAATAAATTAGGGTGCTTAACTTCAAGTTTGACTGTAGATTCATATTTTATTATGCTTTTTAAAATATCTCTGACTATGTAGGTATTGATGGATATGTTTCATCAAGATGTAGAAGATATAAATATATTATCTTTAACTGATGAAGAGCCTTCCACCTCAGGAGAGCAAACTTATTATGATTTGGTAAAGGCATTTATGGCAGAAATTCGACAATACATAAGGGAACTAAATTTAATTATAAAAGTTTTTAGAGAACCCTTTGTCTCCAATTCAAAATTATTTTCAGCTAACGTAAGTATCATTGTATATATGTATATCATTGCATGTTGTTGATTTTACATAACCAATGACATATGAATTTGTATAGTTCATGACTGCTAATTTGTCGGGTTTTTTAAGTTGTGGGATTTAATTCAGAGTGACTGTGATCACAAATGAAGTTGCTACAGACATGTCAATAAGTTAAACATCAGAAATTAAAAGACAAAATCTAAACTGATTTTTAAGTGCAAATGAATTCACAGAATCTTCCATTTACAGTACTCCAAAGAATAAAACGTCTTATTTAAGCAGATTTTGTTTGTTTAGTTTGTTTTACTCATTTGAGTCATTTCAACCAGCACTTCATCAGTGCTACCTATATTGTTAGGCACTATACTTAGCAATGGGAATTCAAGATGATTAAGAAAAAATTTCTTCCCTCAAGTTTAATCTGGTCAAGACCAAACTGTAAACTTAAAATTAAATTACAATACGGTGTGGTAATTACCATAATGGAAGTATGAAAACAGTACTTTGGGGAGGACAAAGGAAGGAGCCAACAGCATTAAAAATTAGAGAAAGGGTTACTGATCTTACAATAGTAATCAAACCAATCTAATAAGGGCTCACTCAGGGAATGCTGAGTGAGAACAGGTGAGATTGGCTAGAGTTGCATTCTAATAATTCCTAGGACCACATTGGCCGTCGGTGACTGATGGAGAAGTAGTGCTCACTACAGAGACTGAGACTGGTGCTCAAGTGGTGGCAGTGTGTTAACAGTAAAAAACTAAGTAGATTATGAATTCTACAAATCCATAAATATATAGTACAAACCACTGAATTGTTTAAATGGATGAATTGCATGATATATAAATTACATTTTAATAAAGTTGTTTACAAAAGAAAGGAGTTAAGGATAGGCAAAGATTTCTTAGGACACAAAACTCAAGAACTGTAAAATTAAATATTAATGAATTTTGGACTTTATTAAAATTAAAAGCTGTTCTTCAAAAGACATTGTCTGAAAAGTAAAAAGGTAAGCCACAGATTGGTAGAACCTATTCGAAATACATATTTCTAACAAAGGACTTGTATCCAGAATATATAAACACTTTTGTAATTCAATAATTTAAAAAACAGCCTGATTTTTTTTAAAAAACAGTTTATTTATTTACTCTTTTTAGAGAGAGGGGAAGGAAGGGAGAGAGAGAGAAATAAACAGCAGTGTGCAAGAGATAATATTGATCTGTTGCCTATCGCACTCCCCCAACCCCTGAACTTGTCCCGCGACCCAGACATGTGCCCTGTCTGGGAATCAAACTAGTGACCTTTCAGTTTGCAGGCTGGCACTCGATCCACTGAGCCACACCAGCTAAGGCAGCCTGATTTTTTTAAGTGGGCAAAAAACTGAACATTTTATAAGAGAAGATATAGACCAATGACCAAAAAGGACATCAAAAGGTGCTCAGCCCCAGTAGTCTTCAGGGAAATGCAAATTAAGACCACAACGAGATGCTATGCTACGCTCATTAGAAAGGCAAAAATTAAAAAGACTGACCATACCAAATGTTGGAAAGAATGTGGAGCCTCTGCTTATGGGAACATAAAATTCCCACATTGCTTGTGAGAATGTAATCCAGTGTAAATACTGAGGAAAAGAGTTTGGCAATTTCTATCATATTGTGCATAAACTAGCCCCTACTACCTAGAAGTTCTACTCCTATGTTTTTACCTGGAAGAAATGAAAACATGTCCATACAAAATTTGTTCATGAATATTCATAGAAGCTTGTTTGTAATAGTTTCAAACTGGAAACAACTCAAATATCCGTCAACAGGTGAATGGACATACAAATTGTGGTATGTCCTATGGATTACTACTCAGCATTAAAAAGGAATGATACAGTTTTATATGCAACAATATGGATGCATCTCAAAAACATGAGCAAAAAAAAACCAAGAAACTAGGCACAAAAGACTACTTAAGATTCTATTTGTTTAGCATTCTAGGAAAGACACTTCTAGTCTATAGTAACGAAAAGCAGATCACTGGTTTCCTGGGAGAGTAGTTGTGACTAAAAGGGATGGGCACAAAGAAACTTCTTATAGTAATGGAAGTGTTTTGCAGCTTGATTATGGTCATATTTTAAGTAACGTAAGATCTCATCAAAAAGTACATTTTAAATAGGTGTTATCTTACTGGGTATGAATCATGCCTCAATGCTGATTTGACAAAAAATGTAGTCACTGATAAAGGTAATAAATTTAAAAAATAATAATTATATTAATGCAAATTAGCCCTTGTTTTCAATTACCTAAGCATTTTCCTAAAAGTTAAAATTGACAATATTCAGTGTTGTAAGGGTTTGGCAAAACTGTAACTCCCATACACTACTGGCGGGAGGGTAAACTGGTAGACTCTTTTTAAGAAACCATCCATAGCTATTTTAAATAAAAATCTCATAACAAAAGTCTTTATCCAGCAATCTAACATACAGAAAATCTAGTGGAAGTTACAAAGTGTTGTGTTGAGTATTCTTCTATGCATGTCTATTTGTAATAAAAATAATAGAAGAATAGAATGAAGAAATGAAGCAAACGGGTACTATATGGATTCATACAGCTTGTCATTACTGATAGAACACGAGCATGGCATGCCTTGAGAACACTTGAGGTAGGGAAGAGCTGAAGCAGATAGGAAACTGGCATAAAGCACTTTCCATACCAAAGTATGGTGGTTGTCTTGAGGAAAAGCACTGTGTGATTGTTTGAGTTGCAAAATGAACTAGCCACCTGTTTCATGAAACACCCATTTTTACCTGAAAGAATGCGTGGCTAACTATGGTTATTCAGAGGTGTATCTGGCAGACATTTTCCAAAAATAAATGAAGTATAACTGTTACTTAAAGGAAAATAACTGGCAGTATTTTTTAACAGTGATAAAATTTGAACTTTCAAACAAAGTTAAAGTTTTGAAAAATTTGTATCCACTCCCATGATCTGTGATGATACTACTAGATTTGGTATTTTAATATTGTAGTGAATGAATATGTCTTAAATGTGTTAACATTTGGAAGATCTATAGAACTCAATATTTTCCAAGTGACCAAATTTATAATGCTATAAAATCACACATGAATAAAAGATCCATTCAGACATTCAAAGTTCAAAATAAGCCAATGGACTTTTTTTTTCCTTAAATCCTCTCCTGAGGGTATGTTTACTGCTTGAAAGGAGAGAGAGAGACAGAGACAGAGAGACAGAGACGGAGAGACATTAATCCATTGCCTCCTGTGTGTGACCCAACCAGGGATTGAACCTGCAACCTAGGCATGTGCCCTGGCCAGGAATCGAACCCATAAGCTTTTGGTGTACAGGATATCGCTCCAACCAACTGAGCCACCTGGCCAGGGCAGGCCAGTGGATTTTGATATAACAGTACAGAATTGATAGAGTTTCCGATTCCACATCACAGCTAACCTTTAAGAAACTACTATTTGTTGAATTTTCATGTAATATCATAGAGAGATATTTATTCCATTGATATGAAATGTCCAGATTAGTGGTTACCATTGACTGGGGGAAGAAAAGAATGGAGAGTGCTGCTAATGGGTACAGGCTTTGGCGGGGTGGGGGATGTGATGAAGATGTTCTGGAAGTCGATAGTGGTGATGATTGAACAGCTCTGTGAATATATGAAAATAATTGAAGTGCCCTTTTAAAAGGGTAAATTTTATAGTATATTACTTACATCTCAATAAAGTATAGTAAAAGAAAAGGAGATCCATAATTATTTGCATAGGCAATTAAAATACCTTTTTTCCCCAACTACATATCTTTGTAAAGCTAGATTTCCTCCATATGCTTTGACCAAAACAATATATGAAAATCCAACAATCATCTATTAAGGTAGATGTCAGAGATTTGCAAAAATATAGAATGATGCCATTCTTCTCACTACATTTTTGGTTTTCAAAACCAAACTTTTTGAAAACTACAGTTACTTTTTATAAAAGTGATATTTATTGTTATTTTTAAATAAGTTTTAACTTTTTTGGTTTTAATGTCTAATATAGTAAACATTAATAGATATAATTATAAACAAAATCCCTTTGGAGTCTTCAACACCCATTTTAAGAGTGTGAATGAGTCCTGAGACCAAAAAGATTGAGAACCACTGACCTAGAGAAAAGTATTTGCAAATTGTACATTATTGCAAAGGAATTTTTACATTATCTTTTACTTAAATTTCTAAGTTGTTAAAATTTCTTACTGTATCTGCCATGTTAAATTTTGTGATTATAAAATGACTTATTGGCTCAAAATCTGTTTTTTATTATACCACCTAACTGAATTAGTGTTTTCCTTCCCAACAGGATGTAGAAAATATATTTAGTCGTATAGTAGATATACATGAACTTAGTGTAAAGTTACTGGGCCACATAGAAGATACTGTAGAAATGACAGATGAAGGCAGTCCCCATCCACTAGTAGGAAGCTGCTTTGAAGATTTAGCAGAGGTAAGTACTTTATCCACCAAAACAAATCTGCATGAAAGCCCTACTTCGCATTAAAATTGGGATCTTAATTCCTGTTTCCAGCTAAAGTCATAGTTATGATTAACTGCTGCCTACTCTGCTTTATTACCCTTTTAGATGGTCACTGTTAACATTTGTTTCTCTTTTGAAAACCCAGGAAAGGTAGTCTCTCATTGATTATGAAAAAGAAGATCCCATAGACAGGAGGCATTTACAGCTGACACTCAATTGTCCATCTTAATATAGCAAGGCTCAGAAAATGCAAGGCTCATAGCAAAGCTCAGGGAATGCCCAAGTCAAGAGGCCATAGAACTTGGGTATGAGGTCAAACTATTTGTTTGTTCCAGTCTAAACTCTGCTACTAATTAGTTTTATGTGACCATAGGCAATTTACTTCACATCTCTAAACCACCATATCTTTATTTGTAAAAAAGGATAATAATAAGACTCTGGGGTTTTGTGACAAATAAAATAACCCACCTGAGATATTTAGCTAACCATTTTCACTAATTAAGGTACTCAATATATGATAACCACATATTTAAAATAAGAGGGGTGAAATGAATGAGAAAATGAAGTCCAGGGCTTAGATGATGCAGATATCATGGGGTTAGAAAAATGATTGCTCTCTCCTTGGATATTTCAAATGATGAAATATATGCATTAATCCTAATAAGTTAGCATTGATAGTCCTTCTGAGATTTCTAGCTCTTGCTTTGTTCTCACTCTAAAATCTATACATTTTATTATAACAAAGAGTTGAGTTTAGAAAGCATAAAAAAAGATTTTCAGGAAAAATAGTATGAGAAATTTAGGCTTTACTACAGCCCCTCCACTCTTGGTTCAAACACAAAGAAGTCATAAAACTTTTTTTTTTTTTTTTGAAAAAAGGAATATATGTAACTAGATTCAGAAACAAGATTAGAAATTGAATAGACCTTCATGGTAGAGAGCTCTGGTAGCTGGCGTTGAGCTCCTAAGGATAATGAGGACTAAATGTGTTCCATGAAAGTGGGCAAGACTTCTTGCTCCAAGGCTTGAACTCTAATAGGATGCTGAGGAAACCTACCAATCTGCTGCCTGTAAGGATTTATAGGAAGTTGTGGACTTGAGGTGGGGAGACAAAAACGCTACCTTAAAACAAGTGTACCTTAAAACTTAAGAGTGTCCCACAATATTAAGCCAATATGATTATAGAGCCTGAGATTGAAAAGTCATTTTAAGAGCAGGTTCTGGTCTGGATGAGTGATCATACAAGGATGGGAGAGAGCAAAAGGAAACCAAAAATGTAAAGCTTCCCCCTAAGGAGTCTATAATACAAAATGATAAAATACAAGACAAATTTGAATGCTTAAAATGATATCTAACAAAATCAACAATTACAAAATAAATTGATTCCAGATTAAATTAATTTTGTGCAATAGATTACAAAGAGCTTAAAGGAATTTTAGGATCCTCAAATAGATAAGTGAAAGAATATGATTTATTTATAAAGAAGGCATTGTGAAACAAAACAGGCAGGAAGGAGAAAAGAACAAGTAGGAATCAAAAGATGTTGAGAATTAAATATACAAGCAATGCAATAAAACCTCATTATGTAGTATATCATTTATCAGACCTAGTTCAAGGATAAAATTAGTGAATTGGAATATACAGTTGAGGAATTCGCTGGGAATGTGACACAGAAAGACCAAGATAAGAATATGAAAGACCAGTTAAGAGTTATAAAGGATACATTGAAAGGTTTCAGTATACATGTAATAGGTGTTTCAGAAAAAAAACAATGAAAGAGCAATGTTTGAAGAGGTAAAACTGAGAATTTTCCAGAAATCAAGACATAAGTTTCTAGATTAAAAATGAATTCCAGATATTGGGCAGGATATATAAAAATAAACCCACAGCCAGAAACATTGTAGTGAAACTATAGAATATGGCAGGGGGTTTTAACAAGAGGCTAGCTATCAGTTAAATGATATCTTCAAAGTGCTAAGGGAAAATAGTTTTTTCTGCACAACTAAACTTTTATTCAAGAGTGAGTGTATAACTATGTTCGGTGCCAGGCGGGTGCTTGGAATATTGGGGGATTACTTTGTAAAGTATATGTCTAACCTCCATGCTATGCACCTGAAACTAATACAAAATAATGTTGAATGTAAACTAATAGACAAATAAAATATAACAAGAATGAGTACAAAGATTAAAATAATAAAGCTTACAGAAGCAAATGAGATTTTCATTACCTTGGAATAAGCAAATATGGACACAAAAACACTAACTGTAAAAGAAAAGATTGATAAACCAGACTGCATTAAATGTAAGGACACTTGTTCATCAAGAGACAAAATAAAGAGAGTGAAAAGGCAAGCTGTAGACTGGAAGAATATTTGTAATATATATAAGCAATGAAGGACTCATACCCGGAGTTTGTAAAGAATGCCTACATATCAATCAGTAAAAGACAGGCAGCTTAGATTTGTGCAAAATTAGATAAAAGAACTGAACAAGTACTTCCCAGAAGAATAAAGGGTGGTCAACATCATTATTCATCAAGGAAATGCAATTTAAAACCATAGAGCAGTTGGAACTCAACATTGCTGCTGGAGGGTGCATAAATTGGTACAGCTATAATGGAAAACAGTTTGGCATATCTACTAAAGCTAAGAATACAATGTACCTTATGGTCCATCAGTTTCACTCTTAGGCACTCTTAGAGAGAGAGGGAGAGAGAGAGAGGAAGGAAGGAAGGAAGGAAAGGAAAGAAAGAAAGAAAAAGAAAGAAAGAAAAAAGAAAGAAAGCCCGCGTTTAGCAAAACACATGTTCAAGAATGTCATAACAGGTTTATCCATAATAGATAATCTTTGATAATATTCACATAGTGAAATGCTATATGGCAATAAAAAAAGAATGAACTACTGATTTTTTAAAAAGGCAATATAATATTGCATGAAATAAGACTCAGAATACTAAATTGCATTTGGAGAAAGTTCTAAAACATGTAAACAGGTCTTGGGGAATAAGGTTAGAATAGTAGTTCTTGTGGTGCTAGATTTCTGTTTTCTTACCTGGGTGATGATTACACAAATACATTGCATAAATGTGTAAAAATTCATCAGATTGTGGACTTTATGTATGTTATACCTTAGTTTAACAAATCAGAGAAAAAAGTGAGAAACAAATAAAAACAGACATGCTGACCACGAGAGTTTCTTATCCGTAGGTCCTTATTACAAGAAGTATTAAATGCAAGAAGGAAAGTACTCAGGGAAGTCAAGGAATACAATAACTAATGTTGAGAAATATTTTGGTAATTTTGAAAAACTGTTAAATATTTTAAAATCCAAACTTCAATTCTTTGTGTTTAAAGGAAGGGTTAAACCAAACTTCTAAGCACCTGTAATAAAATATATAGTGTATAAAGGGCTTGTATTCAGAAGGACAGAAAAACTGAACAACTTTTAAACTCATTGAAATTTAGAAAAATTAAAGATAACAAATTATATTTGATTTTGAAAACATTTAGGAAAAAACGCCAAAAGAATAGAAATACTGCCTATAGATTACAATGTAGATATGGGCGCAGGGGGAGAACTATAGTTATCCATATGGAGGGAAAAGATTTCTTCCTTAGTTCATGTCACATTCAAAAAAGTTATCAATAACTTGAAAATCTAAAAATGAATAAGAAAACTTTATAAGTTCAGAAGAAAATATAGAACATATTTATGACTTTGAGATAGAAAGGGTTTCTTAAAGGACACATAGAAATTGCAATCCTTTATAAAATAAGAGATGAAAAGTTTAAAACTTCTGTTCAAAAAATGACAAAGTAATGAGAAGTGCAAAAGAATGAAGTTGAACTCCCACCGTATACAAACAGAAACTCAAAATGAATTGAAGACCTAAAGTAGGAGCTAAAATGATAAAACTCTTAGAAGAAAGCACAGCTAAATCTTCATGACCTGTGCTTTGGCAAAGGATTCATAGGTATATGACACCAAAAGCATGAGCTGTATAAGAAAAAAGTACATAATTTGGGCTTAAAATTAAAAACTTTTGTACTTCAAAGGACACTCTCAAAAGTGAAAAGGCAGCACACAGAATGGAAGAAATGTTTAAGAATTATATATCTGATAAGGATCTAGAATTCAGTGTATATAAAGAACTCTTATAAAGTGACATTTCAATTTTAAAATGGGCAAAGGATTTGATTAGGGATTTCTCCAAAGGTGACATGGAAATAGCAATAAACACATGAAAGATGTTTAACATCATTACTCATTAGGGAAATGCAAAACAAAACCATTATGAAGTACCAGTTCACACCCATTAAGACAGCTAGAATTTTTTTTTTAAGGAAAGTTAAGTGTTGGTAAGGATGTGGAGAAATTGGAATCCTCACACTTTTGCTGGTGGGAATGTAAGATGGTACAATTTTGTATTCTTCAGTAGATCAATTATACCTATAGTGTTTTATTTCTTTAATAAAAAATAAGAAGTTTTATAAATACTGCTTTTCTGAGTAGATGGTGAATATAGTATTGTTAGGCTGTTCTTGTACTTTTCTGTATGTTTAGAATATTCTAATCATTAATATGTAATTATGTATATTGATAATTTAAATTTTTATGAATCTCATAAGTATTAACATTTTAACCAGAACACTAATCATAAAATCATCTATTAACTTACACATGAGTTCTTAGAAGTTCCTGCCATTCTCCAAATTTATTCTTAAGAATAAAACTATGTGATTAGAGCTTGGATTCCCAGTTAGTTGTCAGTTTTTTTCTCTCTTAATGTTAGCTATTTTCAAATGATAATACTAGGTACCATTTATTTAGTGCATACTATGTACACACCCAATATAAGCATTTTGCTTATGATATCTAATTCTTAAAACAACCCCTTGAAGTATTATCCACATTTTCCAATGAGGAAGTTGGCTTAAAGTAAGTAGTTTGTCAAAGGTCCCACAACTAATAAGTAGTGCAGTCAAAATTGGAATTCTGTGACTCTAAAGACATGCTTGCAAGCCACTACACTGTGTAGCCTTTCCTTTATGTATGTAGTTCTCATAAAAATTCTGTAATAAAGTTTATTGAAAGAGAAGGAGGGCAAATATTATCTGCTGTATATGATAATTTCTAGAGTTCAGGAGACCTAACATAGAAACATCTAATCACATTTTTGTACCTCTCGCCATCTCTATTCATACCTGACTTCTTTCTGTTGTTACTGTTGAAACTATCCATTCCAGTAAAATCTGCAATGGGCTGGGCTGCAATTTCCAGTGTTATATTATCATAGAAATTTTTAGTTGGAAAGACAGTTGAAAGAACTGAAATTAGGAAATGAACTAAGAGCCTGCTCAAGAATTCCAGATGACTTGGACCTTTATGTGTCATATTGTGTTTCACAAAGAACAGAACTCAGGTCTTGAAATTTCTGACCTTGTGTTGTTATTCAATCTTTCCTTAAAAAAAAGAATCTGAGAAACAACATTAAGGGTAATTAATGCATTTGTTCTTGTTATTCTCTTTTACTTCCTTCTGCTGCATGTCTCCACTAGATGGCCCCTTCCTCTTTCTAGAACTACCCTTCATAGAAAGGAGCTCTTGATAGAATCCAAGAGCACAAGTTTTGTAATTTTTTTTTTAACCTGGAATATGGCATAGGGTGGAAAAGAGTAGAGATTCTATCTCCTAGTAGAATCTAGACACTGGTCTTCTTTTTCCACACGAATCATCAAAACCAGTTGATTTTAATCTTTTGGACATAACCATTATAGTTGTTTAGTTTATTAATGATTGATGATGGCCAAAAAATTGTTTTGGGAATTTTAAATGATATAAATTGTTACTTCTGTCTTTCAGAATTTGAAAGTAAGTCTACCACTAAAAAATAACCATGAGAAAATAAATTTCTAGCACGAGTATTCTAAATGTTTATACTTTATCTAGTTGTCGATATCTGTATTCTTTGGTGTTCAGGCTAAACTTGTTTTCCAAAACCCTGAGTCTCCCCATTCTTATGACCATGTTTGTTGATAATACTCTACTAGAATCCTTGATGAGATGTCATAACATATAAGGGTCCCATTACTCATCAGAATTAATTGATTTATTCTCTTACTTGAGAATATTAGATTTATTCTATTAAAATTATAATTCTTAGCCATGTAATTTTGTTTAGAGGCTTTAAAGGAAATACATAATTGTGCTGGTATAGATGTGCCCATAATTTATTCTTTCTGTGCTTATGGTTTTTCTTACATTCTACCTTGGAGAAAGATTATTTATATTTTACCTTCTTTATTTCCTAAGGAACTGGCATTTGATCCATATGAATCATATGCTCGAGATATTTTACGACCCGGTTTTCATGATCATTTCCTTAGTCAGTTATCAAAGCCTGGAGCGGCACTTTATTTGCAGGTATAGTAATTTTTAAATCAAGATATATGATATTTGAAAAATAAATTTAAAAAAATTAAATCACTTTGTTTTCTAGTCAATAGGCGAAGGTTTCAAAGAAGCAGTTCAGTATGTTTTACCCAGGCTGCTGCTAGCCCCGGTTTACCACTGTCTACATTACTTTGAACTTTTAAAGGTAAGAAAAATATTCAAGTGTGATGCAATTTTTACCAGCTTGTTTGTGAGTAATTATGTGAGCATTCATGGATATTAGTCTGTTTCTGTTTTCTTTTTCTAGTAAACAAGTAAATGTAAATGAATCTACAGAAGAGTGGCATATTCTTTCCAGTTTTAATAGTGAATTTTAAAGCAATGATCAATTTTTTTTTTATCTTGCGTCCTTATGTTTTGTTTACATGGTTGATTACTTGGAAACGACCTTGGATTTATGCATCGAAGCCTCCAATTTGGGACCTCAGCAGATTCAAGGACTTAGATAGTATGGGGATAAGGCCAAATGGGGAAGATTTATTATCTAATTTTCATAGCTCAAATTTATATCTGTAAAACTGTTTATCATGACTTTAAAAACAGTGAGCTATATATAATCCCAGTAAAAATTCACCGTGTTATCACAGTTCAAAATACTCAATTTAAGAAGCACTGACCAAAAGGAAAGTGTTCTGTTCCCCTCCCCCCACTTTTTTCTCTGTTATACACTGAAATTAACTAGTAAATAAGGGAACCTTACTCTATAGCAATTATAACTCACTAGTTAGTGTAGTCGGAAGTTATTAACTTTTAAATATTTTATGTATCTAATGATGTCTCCTTTAGATTATGGATAGTATGTCCTTGTAACATATTTTTTCAAAAATTTTAAGTAATAGGTGATATAATAAAGATATTCTCTACCTTTTAATGAACTAGCCCCATAAAGACCACAAAATAAGACATACATTAACACTATTATTTCTTTAGCTTTTAAAATAGTGGTTCATTAAAGTAAAGCTCTATTTAATATGATTTTGGTATGGGGATGTATTGCTAGAAATCATGTTTATAGTTTGTAGGAGTACATGATGCAGTGGGCTCTCTAAATGAATTATTAAATGAATAGAAGGCCTCTGAATTTGGTAAACTGGAAGAACTCTCATCCCTGCATTTCCCTCCATTTCCCCAAGTCTCTCTACATTGTAGTAAGAGAGTTAAAGGATTTAATCTCCAGGCAGAACTACAGAGCTCTTAGCTCTTTGTTCTAGACTTCAAACAAATAACATTTAAGGTCTTTTGTAATATAGGATTATTATTTTAAGAGAATAATCAGGAGGAAGCACTTTGTATGTAAAATCATTCTTGACCAACAATTCATTACAGCAAACCATAGTCATAACGGGACATTTGCAAACAAGTTTGTTATCTAGAATCTTTCTTCATAATGGTATTGCTAATGGATTTTTACCTGAGGCTGTAATGAAATTCTGAAGGATTAAAATCCATATGAAACCTCATAGCATTTATTAATTTATAAATAAGAACAGAAAGCCTTGATAAAGTTTCAGAAAGCTGTAAAACCTAATACCTTAATAAAGAAGAGAAAATAAGTATTTATTCTAAGTATAATCAATTAAAAACATTTTAATAGTTTTTATTTTATAAGTGCATCATTCAGCAATTTAAAATATTTTTATTGGTTTTAGCATGGATATCCCTAGTTCATATTACTGCCTAGATTTTTGTGAACTAAACTTGAAGAATAGTTCTTCACTTTTCTGCCTTAACATCACAAATATTACCAAGAAAAGTAGCCTCAAATGCTGAAGTACGTGAATTGTGGGAAAGGATTACAGATAAAAACTAAGAACTGCGTAAGGCCGTGAGTGGAAAACAGGATCAAGAACTGAGAAGTATTAAAAGCAGGTTTTTTTCCCTCCAAAATTAACTCTTTTTTCAATGCTACATAAAACAAATTGGAAAAGGCAAATATGAATTGTGCTACCTCATTCACTTTAAACTCCCACTCATGGCCTTCACATAGTGTGCCAAAAACTCTGTGAAGAAATATGCTCTGCGGTCCCCTTTTACAAATATCTTACATGCATTTGTTAATGGTTTTGGTTTGCTGCTTTTCCAATTTGGAAGCTAGACAGTATCAAACATCTTTTACTCTAGATCATTTTTTCTCTACTTTTCTTTTATGCTGTGCATGCATTTGGTATAATTGCTATATACATATGCCTAAGACCATTTTTTATACTGCCCATTAGCTGATGTGTTAATCCCAGCGATAAGAGATTTAGAAAACAATTTCTGAGTTTCATAAAAATGAGCCCCTCAGAGGTCTGTGTTGCTTTTATTCCCTTGAACTAGCTTTCTAAATTTAGAAATTATCCAGAAATGATGAGCTAAATGATATTGTATCTGACCACAGATATTGAACATCTGAAGTTAAACATAGAATAAGGTAATCTAGGAGCCATTATAAATAAACAGCTGACTACTTTACTACTCTAATTTTAAATTTTAAATCAACTAAACGGCTATGAGGGGCATTTATAGTTTTTGATAATTTTCTCTCTGATAAGAACAAAAATGGTTTTAAAAGGATATTTATTTTCTTAATGAGAGATCCTTTTTTTTTCAGTCTTAATTTCCTGCTTAAAGTTTCAGACACCTTTCTACCCTTCAGATTTTTACTTGCTTTTATGTTATTATTCTTGCACTTCTGCCATTTTTCTCTAATTCCTCTCCTTCTAGAACTCCAGTTACATGAATATTGGTTATATTACTTTATGTTGTTAACACTGTGCATTTTTCTTAAATCTTTGTTATTTTCTTCAAATCGATAATTTCTATTGATCTGTCAATAGAACTGTTAATTATTATACTTACCATACTTTAGAATTTCCATTTGGATTTTGTTTATAGTTTCTAGAGATTCCCTGTCTGCTCACTCAATAAGACCATGTTTTCCTTTAATTCTTTGAACATGATCATAAAATCCACTTTGAAGTCTTTCCTAAATCCAACATCTGGGCCCATTTGGAATCAATTTCTATTAACTGACTTTTTTTTTTTTTTTTAATATGGGCTTTATATGTGTGTATGTGTGTGCTAGCTAACAACCCTGGATTCTGTTGTGTTAAGGATCGTTGGGGTTTTTTGTTGTTGTTATTGTTGTGTTTTTTTTATTGTTGGTTTTTTACTCTGGTAGATAATTAACTTTCCTAAACTCAACTGCAGATTTATCTTTTCTCTGTTGTGCAGCAGCTGATATCTCTGTTTCCTCTTTCAGGATTTTTATATGCTGCTGCTTTAACCTGAGTCTCTCAGGTATTCCCTACATATGTATAATTTGACAGTCAGACATGTGTTTGGGTATAGATTTTGTTCAGATTTGGGGACACAGTCTCTGTGGTTTCCTTATACCTGGAGTTTCCCCTCTTAATTTCCAGTTGCTCTGCCAGCCTCATGCTCTGTCCCCTGGCTCCCTAAACCAGTAAGCCTTCAGCTTTCTGCTCTTGAGCTGTGTACAATTGGGGAATAAACTTTGTTTTTAAAAAGCAATGGAACTCATTCATTACAGCTCTATTTCTTAAGCATAGATTTGTCTTTGGTCTCTGCCAAATTTTTTTGTCAGGCTCCCTGGTGTCTTCCTATGCATGCGGAATTTAGCAGTCAGGCAGGTATTTGGGTATAGTTCATTCTCAGATTTTGGGTCTCAGCACTTCTGCAGATCATTCACTTAACTAATTTTCTCCTTTAATTTCCTCTTAAACTCTAATCTCTTTCCATCCCTAGCCCTTAAAGTAATCTTTTCCTCCCATTCTTCCTCACCAGTCGCCATGGGATGTTGGGGAAAACCCTAATCTCACAGTGTACACTTTCTACACTTTCAAACTCTTACACTCTCCAGTTGCAGCTTTTCAAGCAGCATGATTGCTGCTGGCTTATGTTTTCTTTTAGATATTTTCCAGTGCCTACAAATACTTATTTTAAAATATTTTGTTCTGATTGTAATCTGCAGGAGGATTCTCAAGACTTTTTCACTCCACTTTTACTGGAAGTTCATATATTTTTATAATTCTTCAGTATTTGTTATGGCTGTTGTGCCTACAAAAATAGGAGGAGAAGCTGTGAAGGGTGCCAGATTCCTCAGGTAGACACATTAGAAAATATATTTTAATAAATTCAGAGACAGAAATAGCTAGATCCTATTTAAAATATGATTTGAAATTGGGCATGTTTAAAACTCAGTTGCATTTTTTTAAAATTGCTCTTAACCTGTTCTTGATCATCTTTTGTATTTTTCATCACCTAGACTCCATGCTTGGGCTTGAAATATTCCCATACAAAAACAGCACACAAATTTAATCCAGTTAGAGAAAATTCTAAGGACTTTTTACAATTAACTAGGATTATTTCAAACTGAAAATGAAACAGTAATATGTAGAAACATCTCCCACCCTCTTCCCCTACTTTTTAATTTTTTTGCTATGTGTGATGACTTCATCAAATAAATACTGTGGTGTCCAAATTTTTTTCCTTTTTTTAGGTAGAAATTCACCTAATGTTCTTTTAGTCCTTAAAAAGCTAATAATAAAAGTAAAGTTGGCCTCACCATAAAAATAGTGTTTTAAGGCAAAATGAAAGGAAATTGGTAACATCAGCATCTTGGCCTTTCAGTTATGTTGCAGTTTCCTTTTTTAAGTTTAAGATATTTTCTTTCATAAAGTACCCTTCTATTTTGTTAGGTTTTTTTCCCTGATGTTTCTGATATACCACTTAGTTTGTAATTATTTTATTAATAAATAATAGTACATAATACTTTTAACATCTGTCTCTGTCATTCTTTTCATCAGACGTCCTGAAGAGCTTTTCTATATACAGTTTTAATTCCCATTATATATTTTAAACGATTGTATTAATTTTTTATTTTCCATTTGAATGGGCAGTAAAGAAAGATAAAAGAGGATGGATAAAGCTGATTTAGCAAAACCTTAAGAGCTGCCAAATATGGATGAAGTGTATGAGTATTTATTGTTTTATTTTTGGAGAAATAGAAGCAGGAAGGGCACTTACCTTCCTCTCCCTTCTGCTGTTTTCTCAAATTCCTTCAACTTAAAATATTAATTTTGGGGGAGTAGCTTGTCTTAAAGCCCATCACATCCTTCTCCTGTGCCCCCCTGATCATTC